GTTAATCGTTCTTTTCATCGCGCAACAAACTCACTGATTCTAGCACATTGTTCCTTCTCCGTATATGGCAAACTGGGCATTAATCTAAAGCTTGAATGAACATACAGATGTATCCCTTTAGATAATACATATGGGAGACAATAAAATTTGCTGGCATTGATTTAACCAAAAACAAGATTTTTTTGGCAGAGAAATGTTTATTCAGCTTCATAGAAATTGTAAATAGACAGCTGAGATATTGGCAGAAAATCGCTAAATAAATCTGAAACTCTTGCGATACAAAGACAAACTAGTTATAGTCTTAACAATGCAATCCTTGGTGTAGAACATCATCAGCACACTCCATACAATATAATGCTTTCCGGTTGAATGTAAATGGAAGTGTTTAAGGGCATATGGTGTTAAAATTGTACTCTTGGTTACGTTTACATTGCGTCCATTACTCTTTTTTTTCGGTTTTGAAGCGGCAACATGTTTATTTCTACTGGCTACAGGTTGTAGTTAGCTCTGTTTATGACTTATCAGCGCTTCTTCACTAAACAACAAGCCGTTTTTTCTCACTCGCAACATTCTCCTTAGGAACGAATCGAATAGTATGAAAAACACCAGTTACTCTTGTTATAATGTCGAAAAACTCTTGAACGATTGACTAAACCTTTTCACCACTCAAAAGCCTTTGAACCTATATAAAAATGGTTCCGATGTCTTTAACTTGACTTCAGACTGAATTGCTAGTCAGTGAAATAGTAGAATACAAAATTAAAAAGGAAATCTTGCTGTTGAACAGCCTTATCTATTTTGGGCTGACAAATGTCCCAACGGTTCCCATTGACCGGATCCACAAGCTTAAGGAGGGCTGAACGCAAATCCTAAAATATCAGTGACATGGAGCGATTAGATTTCAATTGTAAGTATATCACATGTTTCATAGGCTTGCAAAAGAAGCCTTGAGAAAAGACTAGCAATTTTGAAGGGGAGAAATTTTTCAAAGCACTGCCCTTGTAGCAAAGCTTGGCTTTTCTCTGAGCAGCTTTAGATAACCCATCAAGTTTATGATTTTCACGTTCTGCAATATTCTTTATGTTCTGTACTTAAGATGCTCAGCGCAAGCGCAGACAACAGTGTGTTATCCAAAATATGCACAGTTCTGATGTTCATTATACCATTATACTTCGTAATTCGTGAAACTAAGGAGCTTTTGAACAAATCCGTGGGTTCAATCAGCTTCTTTAGCTGCCATACGTAGCTCTAAACATCCTCAGATCTTTGAGAAAAG